CCAATGAGGACCAAGACTTCTGGCTGGTCCCACAATTCTAGAAGAATGTCCTGCTGCTATACTGATATCTTGACCCTGGCACCAGTGAGTCAACAGAAAATCCTAGAGTCTTATTTCATGCCACAGAAACACCCGTTTGAACTCCTGGATATGAATTCTTTTGTTATTAGTCATAGAATCACAGAAATGTACAGCACGGAAACGGATCCTTCAGGCCAAATCATCCATGTTGACCAGATATCCAAACATTAATCTAAATTAGTCCCATTTGCCAGCATTTGCCCACATCCCTCTAAACCCTTCTATTCATATACCCATCCAGATGCCTTTTAAATGTTGTAATTGTACCAGCCTCCACCATTTCCTCTGGCAGCTCATTCCATACACGCAACACCCTCTGCGTGAGAAAGTTGCCCCTTAGATCCATTTTATATCTTTCCCCTCTCACCTTAAACCTATGTCCTGAAGTTTTGGACTCCCCCTACCCTGGGGAAAAGACCTTCTCTATTTACCCTATCAATGCCCCTCACAATTTTACAAACATCTATAAGGTCACCCTTCAGCCTCTGAAGCTTGAGTGAAAATAGCCCCAGCCTATTCAGCCTCTCCCTACAGCTCAACCCCTCCAACCCTGGCAACATCCTTGTAAATCTTTTCTGAATCTTTTCAAGTTGTACAGCATCCTTCCTATAGCTTGGAGACCAGAACTGCACACAGTATTCCAAAAGTGGCCTAACTAAATGTCCTGTACAGCTGAAACATGACCTCCCAACTCCTATACTCAATGCACTGACCTATAAAGGCAAGCATATCGAACGCCTTCTTCACTATCCTATCAACTGCAACTCCACTTTCAAGGAACTATGAGCCTGCACTCCAAGGTCTCTTTTTTTCAGCGATACTCCCCAGGACCTTACCATTAAGTGTATAAGTCCTGCCCTGATTTGCCTTGCCAAAATGCAGCACCTCACATTTATCTAAAATTAAACTCCATCTGCCGCTCCTCGACCCATTGGTCCATCTGATCAAGATCCCATTGTACTCTGCGGTAACCTTCTTCATTGATTAATACACCTCCAATTTTGGTGTCATCTGCAAACTTACTAACCATGCCTCCTATATTCACATCTCGATCATTTATATACATGACTAAAAGCAGTGGACCCAGCACCAATCCTTATGGCACACTGCTTGTCACAGGACTTCAGTCCAAAAAGCAAATTCCACTACCACCCTCTGCCTTCTACCTTTGAGCCAGTTCTGTATCCAAATGGCTAGTTCTCCCTGTATTCCATATGATCTAACCTTCCTAACCAGCTTGCCATTAGGAACCTTGTCTAATGCCGTATTGAAGTCCATATAGTTGATGTCCACATCTCTGCCCTCATCAATCCTCTTTGTTACTTCTTCAAAAAACTCAACCAAGTTAGTAAGACACAATTTCCCATGAACAAAATTATGTTGACTAATCCTAATCAGTCCTTGTCTTTCAAAATACATGTAAATCCTGTACCTCAAGATTCCCTCCAACAACTTGCTCACCACTGATGTCTGGCTTACCAGTCTATTGTTCCCCAACTTTTCCTTACCACCTTTCTGAAATAGTGGCACCACATTGGCCAACCTCCAGTCTTCCAGCGCCTCACCTGTGGCTATCAATGATGCAAATATCTCAGCAAGGGGCCCAGCAATCACTTCCCCAGCTTTCCATAGAGTTCTAGGGTACTTGATCAGGTCTCAGGGATTTATCCACTTTTATGTGTTTTAAGCCATCCAGCACTATAATATGGGTATTTTTTCAAGACGTTGCTATTTATTTCCCCACATTCTATATCTTACATATCCTTCTCCACAGTAAACACTGATGCAAAATACTCATTTAGTATCTCCCCCAGCTCTCGCAGCTCCACACATAGGCTGCCTTGCTGATCTTTAAGGGGCCCTATTATGTCCCTAGTTACCCTTTGTCCTTAACGTATTTATAAAAGCTCTTTGGATTCTACTCAACCCTATTAGCCAAAGCTATCTCATGTCCCCTTTTTGCCCTCCTGATTTCGCCCTTAAATATACTCCTACTGCCTTTATACTCTTCCAGGGATTCACTCGATCTCTGCTGTCTATACATGACATATGATTCCTTCTTTTTCTTGAACAAAACCTCAATTTCGCTAGTCATCTAGCATTTCCTACACCTACCAGCCTTGCCCTTCGCCCTAATAGGAGCATACTGTCTCTGGACTCTTGTTGTCTCATTTTTTAAGGCCTCCCATTTTCCAGCCATCCCATTACCTGTCAATGTCTGCTCCCAATCAACTTTTGAAAGTTCTTGCCTAATATCATCAAAGTTGGCTTTCCTCCAATTTAGAACTTTAACTTTTAGATCCGATCTATCCTTTTCCATCACCATTTTAAAATTGATAGAATTATGGTCGCTGGTCCCAAAGTGCTCCCCAACCAACACTTCAGTCACCTGCCCTGCCTTATTTCCTGAGAGTAGGTCAAATTTTGCATCATCTCTAATAGGTTCATCCACATACTGAATCAGAAAATTTTCTTGTACACACTTAATAAATTCCTCACCATCCAAGCCCTTAACACTATGGGAGTCCCAGTCTATGTTTAGAAAGTTAAAATCCCCTACCATAACCATCCTATTATTCTTATAGATAATTGAGATTTCCTTACAGATTTGTTTCTCAATTTCCTGCTGACTGTTGGGGGATCTATTGTACAATCCCAATATGGTGATCATCCCCTTCTAATTTCTCAGTTCCACTTAAATAACTTCCCTGGACATATTCCCAGGCATATCCTCCCTAAGTACAGCAGTAATGTTTTCCCTAATCAAAAACACCATGCCCCCTCCTGTCTTGCCCCCCCCCCCACCCTTGCCATCCTTCCTATAGCATCTATACTCTGGAACATTTAGCTGCCAGTCCAGTCCATCCCTGAGCCACGTCTCTGTAATTGCAATGATATCCCTGTCCCACATTCCCAACCATGCCCTCAGTTCATCTGGCTTTCCTGACAGGCCTCTTGCATCGAAATAAATGCAGTTTAATTTATCAGCCCTGCCTCATTCTCTGCTTTGTTGCTGCCTGTCCTGACTGTTTGACTTGCTCCTTTTCCCAACTGCACCAGGCTCAGACTGATTTCTTTCCTCACTATCTCTCTGGGTCCCACACCCCCAACTTACTAGTTTAAATTCTCCTGAGCAGGTCTAGCAAATCTCCCTGCCAGTATATCAGTCCCCTTCCAATTCAGGAGCAATCTGCCCTTTTTATACAGGTCACTTCTACCACAGAAGAGATTCCAATGATCCAAAAATGTGAATCCTTCCCTCAGTTCCTCAGCCATGCATTCATCTGCTGTATCCCCCTACTCCTACCCTCACCAGCTTGTGGCACCAGGAATAATCCAGATATTACTCTCCTCGAGGACTTCCATTTTAAATTCCTGCCTAACTTCCTATATTTTCTCCTCAGAATCTCATCCTTTTCTCTTCCTATTTCGTTAATTCCAAAGCATACAACAACCTCCTGCTGGTCCCTCTCATCTTTGACAATATTCTGCACCCTCTCCGAGACACCCTTGATTCCGGCACCAGGGAGACAACACACCATTCTGATGTCTCACTGTTGGCCGCACAAACATCTGACTATGCCTTTGACTAGTGAGTCCCCTATCACCATCGATCATTTGGAACCTGACATACTCAAGCCAGTCTCAGTACCAGAAATGTGGCTGTCCGTGCTACATTACCATGGGAGTCCATCACCCCCTACATTTTCCAAAACAGCATACTTGTTTGAGATGGGGATAGCCACAGGAGACTCCTGCACGACCTGCCTCCCTCTCCTACATTTCCTGGAGGTAACCCATCTACCTGACCTGATCTGTGCTTTTTTTATCTCCCTTCCTGAAGCTGCTATCCATCACACACTCTTGCTTCTGTAAATTCCTCATTGCCTCTAACTGCTACTCCAACCAATCCATGTGATCTGATAGGATTCACAACCAAACACACTTCCTGCAGACATAATCATCAGTAACATGGATACTGGCTCTAATCTCCCACATCCAACAGGAAGAGCACATCACTCTACTGAAGGCCATCTTCACACCTTAACAATCTATAGACCCAGAAAATAGCAGTCTTATTGCTCTAAAAAAAACTGCTCCAGGCTAACTTAGTACCTATGTTTTACATTTAACAATTAATTCAGAGAGCGATCTCAATAAAACATATAATCAAATAAGAACCCACTCTACTCTGTTGTAGCTTTACAAAATAAACAGTAAGGTTATACTTTAAAAAAACCTCCTAGCTGCTCCCCTGCTGTGTGCTCTTCTATACAGGCTTCTCAAGATCAGCTGTGAATTTCGCCGTTTGGTCATTTTTCTTAGATGAACTCCGATGTCCACGGATATTTGGAAATCAAATGGTAGAGGCAGCAGCTGTGCAGATTCATTGCTGGGTCAGACAGCAGCGTAGCTCCCTTTCCACATTTGAATCACTTACCACGTGGTCACTGCCCTTTGTCTGTCTTCCTCCTTTTTTAATGCACAGATATTTTGATGGGTTTTTTTCCCCAAAATTCCAAAACAATGCAACGACGCATAAAATAGTAATTACTCCTCCTAGAATTTGAGGAAATTGGCTTCAACACTGAGAACACCTCAAAAAAGGAACAGCTCTTACAGCCACGATTTTTTCCCATTCTCCGTCTTTATTGTCATAATTCTTCCTTCTACCGGAGTGCAGGGAGGAGAGAGGGGACATGGTGAAAGAGAATGCAACAAGTAATGCTAAAAGAAAGGAAAGGAATGGGAGTGCGAGTGAATTAGTTCTAACAAATATGAAAGTTTTCATCCTCCCATTGTCCTTATCACAAGTTGGCACACTCCATTAACAAGAGGTAGCTGATTTAGCAATCTAAGTGAGAATAGGAGAAACCCTGCTCAATATAAATATTCACTGTCTTATGATATTTCAAAACTTCTGGAATTCTGTGAAGTTACCTTTAATTTCATCATTGAGTCCTGGCAGAGTTTATCTCCCCTTGCAGCTGAAACCTCATCCACACCAATTAGTTTTGCCCTATACCGGAATCCATCTCCTTTAAACCGTTTTATCAGACCAGCTTCACTCCGATCCTGACCTGGAAGTTAAAAGAAATAAAATCAGAAGGGTCTCAAGTTAACTCTTATTTTGGTTATTGTGCTATCAAGTGAGCAGCAAACTTGTAAATGCAAATGAATCCCCTCAGGACTATTCTATAACATCGTTCAATAAGCTGCATCTTGAATGTGTAAACGGATATCCCAATGTACTTCAAAGGAGTGTAAAAATGGACACAAGGTATGTAAAGAATTAAGAAACGTAATCAGAAGCATAATGAAAATACAGATTTAAGAAACAAGAAATGAGAAAGTCAAGGAGTAGGAAGGGAATTCAAGAAATTTGAGACAGTTAACAATTTTGCAATTGATGGTGGATGAAAGAATATGGAATTAGAAGAGTCAAAGTTCAACAATGAACAACTAGGATAGGATTTATGTATGGAATTAATTACAGACAGAAGTTGTACTAAAGACAAGTATGCATTGTAGATGAGGAAGAGGATTTTTGACTACATGTATTGGATAAAGTGGGAGCTAATGTATGTCAGTGGACATGAATGCGATGGGTAAGCAGGGCTAATTGCAGCATGAGGAAGAATGTATTTTGAACATATTGGATATTATGAAAGGGGCACCTTGGATGACATAGCTAATGGTTTTATCAAGTATGAAGTCAAGTACAGCAGGGACTTTACTGTGGTAAAAGTGAAGTAGGAGTGGGATGATTTTGTTGAGTTAAAAATAAGCAGTCTTAGGCAGACCCAAAATATATGTTTGGAAACTTGCTCAGGTTCGAGAGGACACCAAATATTAGACAACCTGGAGTAGCCTGAGTCAGTAGTTAGTAGAATGTTGGAATCATCAATGAGTTTTGAGTTTTGATGCTAGCTTCATAATTCCCAAAGTTTCATTGGAGGAAATGTTTAACAGTCACAGCTCAGCATTGCATAGAAGTCAGGCAGCACATAGTTAGTCATGTGGTCAACGAATGAGGTAGGACTGATTTAAATTAACTCATGGGATGTGCATGTTGCTGGCTGGGTCAGTATTTATTACTCACCTACAGATGCCCTTGGGTGTCATTAGCTGAGGAATTGTAAATTGACTTCATACCATATCACAGAGGAACAATATGTAAGTGAGCAAAAATGAAGGACTGAGGGAGGAACCGGAGAGAAATCAATCCGAGAGAAACAATGGCTGTATTAGAACATGCATGAGTGGAAGTAGAGGTCACTCTATTGAGGGAGAGCAAGATGAGAAATAATGGAGGAAGATAGGCTGGATGCCATAAGTAAGTCAAAAAGGAGTCAAAAGGATAAAGTAATGGGGCTGCAGACATATTGCTTTTTGATGAACAGCAGGGTAGGGTGAATGTGAGGGAGGAAGGAGACTGAGGGCAGAAAACAAGAGAGGGATGGCTGAACCAATTGTTTGGGTATTAGTCTTGGAAACAACAAAACCTATAAGCTGGTAAAGTTAATCAATATCTAACTAACATCAGTTTAAATAAATGGAAATTACTTTGCATGCAGCACAAACTAAGCACTAAAGAAAATACAGACAAAATGTGAAAAATAGTCAATTTTATTTAATCCACTCAACTAGGTTGTCAATTTCCATCTCCTTCTACACTTTTCTGAAATGAAACATAACAAAGGCTACTTCAAATAAAATTAATTACCATTATTATCTCCCTAATATGCTTCCAATTTGTCCAAAGGCCTTTGGTAATTTGTAGGTTGTAACCCACATGCAATTCAGACGTAAGTGCACTCTCTGACAGGCCCTCCCCGTAAGAAAAAGTATGCTATACAGCTGCAGGTATCTTTTTTTTAACACAAGCGTACTTCATTCTTTCAGGAAATCTGAAATGGAGCTCGTTTTAAGCAGAAGGCATTGGGAAAAAAATTGTATGTATCTAAGCCAATGCAAATGGAGAGAAGACACTGGAGACTAAGCCAATTGGTTCAGCCATCATCCCTTTTCTTCTCATTTCCTGTCCTCAGCCTCCTAGTTTACCTAGTGGGAGCTTCATGGTTTGAGGTATCATCTCTTAAACCATAACCAATTGGAGGAACCTCATGCAGGAACTAGGTCACAGTAGTCCTTCACATTCATCCAATCCTGTGACACACATTAAAAAATCTGCATGACTACAATCTCACTTCATTACCCTTTTGCATCTCTTTGACTTTTATAACGTTCTAAACAGGGCCTCAAAGTTCACTTGGACATAGACTTTGCAACTGTACTCATTTCTATCTTTCTGATGCACTTCACATGTCTAACTGAGCAGCCGACACTTGTAAAGAATTTAAACCTCTCACAGAATGCCTGAAAAGTCACCCTCCACAAATGTTGTTCTTTTCTCCTCGCAACATAAAGCATGATAGAAACTCACACATCTAATTATTTATTTACAGGAGAAGAAAGCACATTGCCTGAAAGGCAAAGACCTGGCTGGAAGGAGGCAGGGGTAATGGTTGGAGGGGTATTGCTTGGGGTTGGTTGGGAGGAATGGATGGTCATTCAGACACAGGCATATTGTTGGGTATTGATAATGTGTTCCCACCTGATCCACCAGGAAAAAGACTTTATTCCGAGAGTCTGTAGATGTCAGCAGCATTCTACAGTGATGAACCAAGCCTTGAGAAGAATTAGGGCTCAGCTATGTTGGGAGACCTAGTCCTCTGACTGCAGTTCCTATTTGGACATCTTGCTTCTTTCTGGATGGATCTCAGTGTCCAATACATCTGCCCTGTGAAGCTTCTGCTGCATCTGATGGCTTCTCTTGTTACTCTGCAGAGTTGGAATGTAGAGGTGCCATGTCATGGGGAAAGCTGGCTGTATTGAATTGCGGCTGAATGTGATTGAAGTGCAAGGAAGGTAAAGTGCTTTCCAAGAAATTGACAATCACCTGTCAAGCAATAAAAGCACTTCCTGAGAGTAGAGGTGCTTGAACAGCAGCCTCTCAATTATCAAGGCTGCAGCTTTTCAGTGTAACAACTAAAACCCTCACAGCTTGTCTGGTCCATTGACAGAGTTATTCCCTTCTCTTGGTGACTTCAGCAACATACAGACACAACATGTAAGTTGTGTATATTTTTAGTCAACGTGGTTATGACAGGTGGGACTTGAACCTAGGCCTTTTCGCTCAGAAGTAGGGACACTACCAATGTACCACAACAGCCCATAAGCCATGCACTATTAGAAAAGAAATAATTCATTGTTTAAAAGACTCTCAATTGATTGTTTTGATCACAGTGATTGCTTTCTCATCTGACCCATGGAGGTTCACTGAAGCACTCAGAACCCACCCAAAGGAAAGTTGATGAAGGCAATTTTTCACTGGAGCATAGGAGGTTGAGAGGTGACCTTATAGAAGTTTATGAAATAATGAGGGACATAGATAGAGTTAATAGTAGTTGTCTTTTCCCTAGGATAGGGAATTTCAGGACTAGGGGGCACATTTTTAAGGTGAGAGGAGAGAGATTTAAAGAAGATATGGGGGTAATTTTTTTACACAGAGGATGGTTCGTGTGTGGAATGAACTTCCAGAGAAAGTGGTGCATGTGGGTATAATTACAGCATTTAAAAGATATTTGGATTAGTACCTGAATAGGAAAGGTTTGGAGGGATATGGACCAGGAGCAGGCAGGAGGAACGAGTTTAGTTTGGAATTATGGTCAGCATGGACTGGCTAGACCGAAGGGGCTGTTTCTGTGCTGTATTACTCTATGACATTAGGATCCAGTTCCAATGTCAACTTTCTATGATTTTCCCACCCTGCATATTTCAGAATGCACCTCCGTCTACTGAGGAAAATCTTACTGATTGAGTGGGACAGGATCAGCATTGGAAAATTTCTTCAAGATGTCTTTAAGCAGGAACATGTGCAAGGGACACAATGCTTATTCACAGTAATGCATGAAAGACTGAATATTCTGAAATGGAAATACGGTATTGAATGTATTTCAGGCATCTGTACAGAGTGGGACAGAGTTCTGCAAAATTGTTTCCTTTTGCCAATAGGGACTAATTTCCATCTCAAAATATCTGCCAAGTAATCCAAATATTATCGATAAGCACGTTGATTTCAGAAATTCATTATAATGTTACAGTACAAAGAATTAGTGAATAATTTGATTGATTAAAGCAGGAAAATTAATATTTCACTGATACATATTTTCAGGATGTTTCCAAGCATTCAGGTAAAAGTACTGTTTTAAGTCTCTGTAGTTGCTCAGTGGGTAAGTGCAGTGCACTATTAAAGCATACAGGAAGGTTTCAAGTTCAATCCACAGGTCTTTGCTGAGGTAAGTGATTTTAGTGAAGACTGTTGTGGGACTATTAGAATTATCACTGAACTATCAGCAGAGCCTGGTTGAAATAACTCCACAGAGGCTGGTATCCCGTCACAAAGTCATCCTTTATTTATTTACAAGTCCTTGACACTGATCCAGCTCCCTCAGAGCCTGCTGTCAGGGTGAACAGAACCTCCAACACTCCTGTTTATATCTGTCAGCCAGGGCTCCTGGATTGGACCAGATTAACAGCCCTAATCGGGGAACTCATACTCTATGAGCTCCACCTGACTGACCTCGTTAGCGGGGAGCAGAGCGGGTGCAGGCCAAGTTGGGAACCAAGTCATGGCCGGAGCCGGAGCGGGAGCACAGCAAGCATTGGCTGGCTGGGGGAACAAGTTTTAGGGTGAGTCCAGGATAGAGGGGAGGCCTCGTCTTCCAAGGCCTGGTGGGCACAGAGCCAGTAGAAAAGAAGTATAACTTGAGTACTTGAGCATTTCAGCATCGGTTCAGGTTCCTCCAACTCTGCCTATGATACATGTATCACATTACACACAGTAGCTTGCCTCTTGTGCCTGGAAGAAATTCATTCCCTTCTTCAGGTGGAAAAGGCATCGAGATGGTGTCATCCGCTGTGACCATCTCAGATTCCAGGAATCTTTACACTATGATGGGAGGGAGAATCCATGGGTCCGCAACAGTTAGAAAGGCTGTTGAGGAGCTGGGCATGT